GCCACACAGGAAGGTAACTTGGCACAGTGCTAATTTTACCACCTCTCATAATGGTCAAGATTACTCGGTCATACATGACAGTTACATTATGATCTTGGTACCATTTGATGGAGAATAAATCAGGCTTTTTACTACTACCTTTGTATTTTATAAAAACTGCTTAGGATTCCAGTAATTTGGAATTTAAGTTGGGTATACTTTTTTGTGGACACCCTGTATATTATTTTTCTATTTTCTATGGTTAATTTTATTATAATTTGGAAAACTGTAAACATTTCCCCCCATTTTTGCACTTTGAAACTTCAATAACTTCACCACTTTATAACATATTGTGGATCTTTTGTAAGATAAAGCCAAATGTATAAAGCACATTACTAAATGTAATGATATAAAATCATGTTTTGTTCAAATGTTTATTGATAAGGTACTATTCAATATATACTCATTATAGAAAATAACAATAGAAGTTTATCTAGAGAAGGGGCGTCTACCTAGTTCTTGAACCTACTAATGTCATTATCAACCTTGTTAAAGGCAGCCCTGTCAAGGTTTTGTCATTCTTTGCAAGATAAAATGCATATCAATGACACTTATTTTTCATATCTTGAAGTTCTTAATAAATAGATAATGTACTTGACATTAGAGATTTTTTAAAGAGACAATCAGATCCAGCGAGCACATAAAACAAAAATTGATAGGTTAATTGTACATGTTGCTTTCAATTTTATCACCCCCTATAGATCTGATTCTGTCTCTGAACTAATATATTTTTTCACTTTTAGCTACATATACATGTTTTGGAGAATTCGTTCAATTTTTACCAAGATTTTTTCTGATCACACAAGTACCAGTGATTGGATTTGGTCCTAGTTTTACTTGTATACACTACCGTCTGATCACCTCCACTCAAAAAAGATTCAACTACAATGGTATAGGATGAGCACTCACAGAATTTGACTTTCATTTTAAAGAAATTGGTATCATTTTACCTCATGTGAGTAGATTTCGACAAAAGGAGACTGCTTACCGGTTAATTCTATCATTGTTTTTCTAAAATGAGAAGGGATTTGAAAAAATACCTTTGTTCATAAGAATTTGCTACTCTGGGGTCTGTCTCTAACGTAAAGTCGTTCGTTTTGTTGTTCACATCATTTTATTCTTTTGGGACTAGACATAGTGGGGGTCAATTTTCTATGACTGCTCATGAGGTGTCATATAGGCTATCGCGAGTCGTTTCTCATAGAAAAGTGTTTATTGTGAGGCCTAAAAGATTGCAACAACTCTTCATTTTTTTCTTTTAATTTTCAGATATGTTACATGGTAAGAAGTTCTAGAGCTTATTATCCCATCGAACGAAGTTCGGAGGGATATAGGGAACGCCTCCGTCCGTCCTTCCGTCCGTCCGTCCGTCCGGGCAATAACTCAAATACCGTTGGCCCGATTTTGCTCATATTTTGTACACATATACCCTATGGGGGTAGAAGTTCTGCTCGAAAGCCTTTTCTGCTCGAAAAGTAGTGGAGCGATTTTGTTCATATTTGGTATGTGAATACTATAAACATTCCACACTGTCTAAAGACACTTTTGGTAGAAGGCAGCCATTTTGAAAAATGACCGCCATTTTGAAAAATGGCCACCATTTTAACGTATTTTACTATAACTCGAAAAGTAGTGGAGCATTTTGTTCATATTTGGTATGTGAATACTATAAGCATGACACACTGTCCTATGACACTTTTGGTAGAAGGCGGCCATTTTGAAAATTTTTTTGAAAAATGGCCGTCATTTTAACGTATTTTACTATAACTCGAAAAGAAGTGAAGCGATTTTGTTCATATTTGGTATGTGAATACTGTAAGCATGGCACACTGTCTAATGACACTTTTGGTAAAAGGCAGTCATTTTTCAAAATGGCCGCCATTTTAACGTATTTTACTATAACTCAAAAAGTAGTGGAGCGATTTTGTTTATATTTGGTATGTAAATACTATAAGCACGGCACACTGTCTTATGGCACTTTTGGTAGAAGGTGGCCATTTTGAAAAATGGCCACCATTTTAACGTTTTTTACTTTAACTTGAAAAGTAGTGGAGCGATTTTGTTCATATTTGGTGTATGAATACTATAAGCATGACACATGGTCTAATGACACTTTTGGTAGAAGGCGGCCATTTTGAAAAATGGCTGCCATTTTTGCTATATACTTTGTTTGTAAAAATGCCATCCATGGCTGTTCGATGGGATTCGCTACGCTTTGGCGTTGCCGTTGTTCTGGTTAACTTTAAGGCGGCAATCTCGCATTCTGGTGGCCATTTTAGAAGTTTTTAGATAACTGTTGTCATCACGATTCCAGAAAAACCACTGAACGGATTTACTTCAAATTTTCACACATGTTACATGGTACAAAGTTCTAGAGCTGCTTACATTTTGGGCTGCCTTCTGGTGGCCATCTTGGAAGTTTTTAGATAAATCTTGTCATTGCAATTTCAGGAAAGCCACTTGATGAATTTACTTTAAATTTCACACATGTTACATGGTAAGAAGTTCTAGAGCTGACTAACTTTTCAGTGGCCATCTTGCATTCTGGCGGCCATCTTGGTAGTTTTTAGCTCACATGGTGAGCTTAAGAACTTCTTACCATGTAACATGTGTGAAAATTTGAAGTAAATCCGTCAAGTGGTTTTCCTGGAATCGTGATTACAAGATTTATCTAAAAAACTTCCAGAATGAAAGATGGCCACCAAAAATGTTATCAGCTCTAGAACTTCTTACCATGAATCATGTGTGAAAATTTGAAACAAATTCATTAAGTCGTTTTTCTTGGAATCGTGATGACAAGATTTATCTAATAAATAGTACCAAGGGTACTGGGCTCACGTGGTGTTGCTCTAAAGTGAATGATGGTTAATAATAAATGGCAGAAAATAAAAAAATGGATGTAATTCTTGCTGATTTTTTGTAACAAAATTATTTCATACAACTACTCTTTACAGTGACATGACTTTTTACAATGCAGGATACCTGAAATTATTTGTAAAGCTAGGAAATGGGCCACAAGTGAATTTCGCAAGATGAAAATGGCAACATTTTGAAAATAGGCGAGCTTTTGAACCAAGAGTCATAAGGGAGTTTTCTGTATTGATGTTTAACAAATATAACTTAAAACGGGAATCCTATTGACACAGGTTTTAAAGCAAATGGTCCGAGAGTGAATTTTGCGAAACAAAAATGGCTGCCATTTTGAAAATAGGTGAGCTTTTGAACCAGGAGTCATAGGAGGTTTTCTATATTGATGTTGAACAAAATAACTTAAAATGGGAATCCTGTTGACAGAGGTTTTAAAACTGGCCAGTGGTCCTTTTTCCATATAGCTTTGAAATCTCGTTAAAGTCTCGTTTTTAATGAGATTTTAGGAGATCTTCATTTTTAACCATTAAAGGCTAACATTTTCTTCTATTTGATAGCATTCTATGAGTAATTTTCTACCAAATCAATTTTGATTTGCATCATTATTTACCTTTATTCAAATTTTAATGCTTTTATAGTGGTCTAAAAATGGTCGGGCTAATTGCCATCAACACGACGCTGAAAAACCTTTAAAAGTTCATTTACTCTCACAAGGATCACAATTTTAATGTGAAATCACAATCGACATGTCAATGGTGTTTAGGTCCAAATTAGTCAAGGTCTATAGAAGTGGTATCTCCCTCCATGTTTCAATGTCAATGAGTTCAGATTGTGAACTTATCTGCTCATTCAGTCTTAACAGAAGTCTTTCTACATCAATTAAAAGTACATTGCTGAAATAATTGGTCAAGGTCTATAGAAGTGGTATCTCCCTCCATGTTTCAATGTCAATGAGTTCACATTGTGAACTTATCTGCTCATTCAGTCTTGACAGTAGTCTTTCTACTTCAATTAAAAGTACATTGCTGTAATAATTGATCAAGGTCTATAGAAGTAGTATCTCCCTCCATGTTTCAATGTCAATGAGTTCACATTGTGAACTTATCTGCTCATTCAGTCTTGACAGTAGTCTTTCTACATCAATTAAAAGTATATTGCTGAAATAATTGGTCCAAGTCTATTGAAATGCTGTCTCCCTCCATGTTTCAATGTCACTGTGTTCACATTGTGAACTTATCTGCTCATTCAGTCTTGACAGTAGTCTTTCAACATCAATTAAAAGTACATTGCTGAAATAATTGGTCAAGGTCTAAAGAAGTAGTATCTCCCTCCATGTTTCAATATCAATGAGTTCACACTGTGAACTTATCTGCTCATTCAGTCTTGACAGTAGTCTTTCAACATCAATTAAAAGTACATTGCTGAAATAATTGGTCAAGGTCTATAGAAGTTGTATCTCCCTCCATGTTTCAATGTCAATGAGTTCACATTGTGAACTTATCTGCTCATTCAGTCTTGACAGTAGTCTTTCTACATCAATTAAAAGTACCTTGCTAAGTTTTGTATTTTCATCATATAGCATCGTCAGCTCTGGAAATTGGTGCTCATTTTCTGCTGACAAGATCAGGTTCCTCTCACTTTGAGTGAACTTATCACTGGTAGTGCTTTGCAGGATTATTTGTTTCAGTCTTTCTAAACTGCACTGTCTGAACACCAGATCAATCAGGTGTGTACATGTTAAGCCAGTGGAACATATGCTTGATGTTTTTAGTTTTGTAAGAATGTATGTTGTAAAAAGAAATATGTCAAAAGAATCAAATGGTCTCTTAATGAGATCAGTTTCATGACATTCTATATCTTTGATATTTCCATGTAAAGAATGACTAAGCTCAACATACTTGTTATGCCCCGTAGATCTAAGAATCAACTTACATAATCTGTGACTTACATCATGATAGCATTTCCCTAGGGATCTATCATTACTTTCACATTGAGTCTGGTGAATGCGGACCTGAGTAAACAAAGCATGAGAATAAAAGTTTGCTTTTTCCCCTTTTAGATGCTTCTTAACCTGGGATAAAACAAACTTTAATGCCATGACTATCTTTCTGTGATGATCATCTAATCTTTTAACTCTTTCAGCTGGTATTTCATAATATGACAATAGCCACCTTCATTTGGCTACTGCTATGTAGAATTTGAATCTACTATTCGTATAAGGCAACTCAAGCTTCTTCAGGCAGAAACATAAGTCAATGTCAGTAGCACATAATAATCCTCCAACACGTAGGCAGAGACTTGTTACATGTCTTTCTTTATCTAGCTGTACTTCATTGTATTTCAGCTTTGATGATTCAATGGGTTCCTCCTCTAGGGCTATCTTACCCTTGTATACCAGGCTACCCTCTGAGTGTAGTTCTAATAGACTTTCATTCACAATTTGTGGTAGATATTTCTGAATAAAACTGTATGGTTCAAGAAAACCCTTTGAATCTAATAACCCTGGATATTGAGACAATCGTTGATGTTGTGAGGGATGAATCCTGCAGTCTATTACTTCCCAATCAATATCACAATGTTGTTTCATTTGAACATGATCAGAATGGACCATTGGAAGTACATAATCCAATTCATTTGGTGTATCTATCTTTGTCTGATTTGACGTACTTCCATTTAGATATACATTGGATACTGCTAGTGCAGGATGTGAACTGCTCAGTTTATCACAGATTGGTTGTACAATACGTGTCCTGATGTGTGCCTCATGTCTGACCAGTTCAGCTGGACTGTTCTTTAGTTTAACATCGTTGTATACCTCAGTTACAAAATCTGTCAGTTGTTGTTCTCCATTTTTATCAAGTGTGTCCTTCACTAAGTGTTCATCACTTCTTGCTTCAGCCATATTGAAATGTGTTGATGTAATTTTGTGTTCACAAACAACACTGTTATTACTCAGCATTGGTCGAAGCTCACTAAATGTTCATCACTTCTTGCTTCAGCCATATTGAAATGAGTTGATATAATTTTGTGTTCACAAACAACACGCTAATGATCAAAACTCACATCACTTTTTGCTTCAGCCATATTGAATAGTGTCAATATAACTGTGTGTTCAATGTTCATATATGATTAATGTTTAAAGTTATTTAAGTTGTATGTTTAAATATTCATGTAAATCCTGATACTCAATTGTATATAGTATTACTCCAACAATATGACATCCACATCATCAAATCCCACCAGAATGGCTGGTTGATATAGTTTTTTATGAAATAATTTACTGCTACATGGTGGGTTATGATAAACTAGACCGAAAGCTTTCAAATGGGAAGTGTTTTTGTAATGAATACAGCCAGGAGCAGATGTTTATGAAACTAAAATGAAACTGAAACTAACATTCCCAGAAGTAGCATTTTTAGAAATACAAGTGCTCTTCCATCTTCTTCCCATTTACTAATCTTATCCAATCAATTTGACATTCAATTTTAAGCAAACATGTTCGATACAGTGTATTTTTGTCTATTTTTTTTAATTGCTAGTGCAGTGCCTTTAAAGGGATATTCCTTGCCAGCCCATCTCTCTCCTAATGTGGTAGCTATAACCATATATTACTTTCCATGTTTAGGCACCTTTAAAGCTGTTGCTACAATTTGTCGTTATTCTAAAAAATTGCATAATATTTTTTAACTTTGCGCATAATTTCAATTTTCCCCTTTCAGAATTTCCTTTTTTGCTTGCAGAATTTTTGGCTGAATTTCTTTTTTTTTCATGCAGAAAACTAAATATGCATGTGTGAATAAATAAGATCTTACCTAGAGAATGAATGATAATTTAAAAATGGAATCGGTAGAATTAAGATGTTAAAATCCTAGTACAAGTGAAATTTTCTGTGTTAGCTCAAGGGGGGGGGGGGTACAAGATGTACATACTGTATACTCAAAATGGGCTAAACATTAATATTAAAGCATGTTGTGAAGTTCAAGACAATTTAACCTCCAGAAAGACATTTTTTATTCAGTTAACTAATCTTTGAAGGTTTACTTGCCATAAAAGTTGTCTTGTGTATTGCTAGAATTGAGTCACGATAGTTTAGTGGCTTTGGATTCAACGCCAGACAAAGGAGGTATCCTAATGCACAATTTGTAAATTATTAATTGTCATAGTCATCTCTTTCAAGATTTAGGGCTTAATTCAAATGATTTATTTACAGAATCTAGTAGAACATCACAAATTAATTGTCATCTCTTTCAAGATTTAGGGCTTAATTCAAATGATTTATTTACAGAATCTGGTGGAACATCACACATTAATTGTCATCTCTTTCAAGATTTAGGGCTTAATTCATATGATTTATTTATTTACAGAATCTGGTGGAACATCACACATTAATTGTCATCTCTTTCAAGATTTAGGGCTTAATTCAAATGATTTATTTATTTACAGAATCTGGTAGAACATCTGGGCAGTCAAAACTCACCTATTAAAGATGCAGAGAGGTTGCTTCAAGATATGGACATCAACAGGCTCCGTGCTGTTGTATATAGAGATGTGGTAAGAAAATGAATGTTCCTTAAATAACAATCCCTATATAATATTCACCGATGTTCTAATTTCTGTACTGTAGTTGTATTATTAGAATATTGACATCAACACAGAACATTTAAATTAAATTAATACAGAATTATATTATAATTTCTTGATTATTGTCATTTTCATGCCAAACAGGATCGTCCAAGCAACACACTTTGCTATTTTCCCCACTTTTTCCATTCTTCCCACTTTTTCATTTCTACACATGTGCTCATTTTCTTCGCATTTTCACAATTTCTTCACAATTTTTCCATTTCTTTACATATTTCCCACTTTTGCCATTCTTGCACTTTTCCCACTTCCTCACACTTTCCAATTTCTTCACACTTTTCCAATTTCTTCACACGTTTCCCATTTCTTCACATTTTTCCCATTTTTTCACACTTTTCCCATTTCCTCACACTTTCCATTTGTTCATTTTCCCATTTCTTCACACATAATACCCTTTTCCAGGATGTATCATGTGGGACTGATTGCACAGTGATTTTGATAATGAGATTTTTGATAATGGCTATTTTGGTAATGACTTTTTTTGCCAAATTTCAGGAGGAAACCAAACAGGCCCAATTCTTAGCACTAGCCATTGTCTACTTTGTATCAGTATTGATGGTATCAAAATATCGTGACATTTTGGAACCATCGAGAAGCCAGCCATCTACTCCTGCCCGCAGTCGATCTACAAGTGCAATAGAAACACAGGGAACAACTGATAACATTCCAGAAAGAGGTGAGTCACCACAAATATTGTTTGGATTCCATGAATCACCACAGGTTTACAGGGTGACTCAGAAACTGGGCCTCCGAATTATATTGAATAGTAGGATCTTAAATATACGTGGTATTTTCTTCATTAATTTCTTGATCTGCATGAATGTTTGAAAAGTCTTCAAAAATATATCCTTAAAATAACAATATCAAAAACTTTAGAACTCAGAGGAGAGTCTAGAAAAGTTATTTTAGAGCATTTTGCATTTTTGTCGGGTTGGTGTCTCAAATTTTATTTTACCATGCAAGTATTTCATATATATGATGTAAAGTTTTAAGCCATGCTCATTTTTTCCTTTCTTTTCGTGAATAATTTCAAAGTCTCAAATATGAAAAATAACCAATATTCTCTTAAAAAACAATTACAAAAATACCTTTTCAGGTGAACTTATTTCTCATCGTTTAGGGTGATTATTAAATGAACATGTAATAATTTAACAAGTAATATCAATATTGATGTTTATGCCATCCCATACTAATGAAATTTGAATAGCTTTTGAAGCTTAAATACACATCAAATGCTATCAGAACCATGTAGTAGGATTAGCATAGAAAAATGAATGCATTAGGAATTAAATGCATGGCCTTATTTTAGTATTAACATATAGTTCTCTAGATTGAAGGTCCATCCCATTTGAATTGCTACATTATTTCACCAAAGATTTTATTTTTTTGCAGAATTGTTTTTGCCATTTTGTCAAAATTGTCATCAGTAGTATTGAAGTATTAATCCTAACATGTTCCAATGTCTACTGCTCTAACTAACCCACTTGCTTTGCTAGCCCATGTCACTCAAAAACTCTCCAGTTCACGGCACAAAGGCCCTGAAATGTTGCCAATAGAGGAGGAAGAATCCTGCGGTGGAGGAGTGCTATCCTCAATGTACGCAGATTCCAGTGATGTCACAGTCGTTCCCTTGGAAACGGGCACAACAACAACAGATGAAGACAAATCTACTGAGAATGGCTCCAATGAGAGCGAAGACAATGATGAATCTGATGGTGACAATGATGAAGAGGCCACCAACAATGATGATGATAATGACAATGATAATGAGAAAAAGGACAATGATCACAGCATTGAAAATGATGAAGAGAGTGCAGAAGTTGAAGACGATGAAGAGGAGGATGATGATGAAAATGAAGAAGACAAAGAAGATGACGAGGATGATGAAGATGAGGAGAGTGGTGAGTGGCGCCACCTATAATGGATGTTGTCACTCATGTTAAACATTGTAGCACTCTTGCATACATCAACTATAGATGGCACTGATGCTATTGTTTTGACCGATTTAATGTCATATGGATATTGTTTATCAAAATGATCAATTTAATTATGCATTTCTGTTTTTCCGTTTTTTGTGATTTTATCTACTTTGATATCTTCTTCACCCCTAATAAGCTACCACCACTGTGGATAAATTTGACAGATGACCTTTGTGACTAGCATCATAACTCACAAGTCGAGTTCTACCACAGTTGGTTCCAACAGAGATGTCAATTAGTCATACACATTTGAGAATGTGAAAATGAATGTGTAATATTATGACCCCAGGGATCATTTCTCCCTTTATAAGGGGCCTTATTGCATCTATTTTCCTTAAATCTTCAGTTTCAATCAGGCAAGAAAGTAAGGGCTACAAATGGGAAAAATACAAAAATTTATTGATTATTTGATTAATTGATTAATTGCATTAACATGGGACCATCTATGGTTCTATACATTCCACTTTTACATTCTACAGAGTAGTGAGGAGTCAGCCATCTTGATATTTGACTAAATCCCCTCTTTCATCTATCTTTATTGAGTACCTCTTTTGTTTTTATGAATCATTTTTATGTCACCACCAAAAGTGGTGACATATTGTTATGGTCTCCGTTTTTTTGCGACGGCGGTTGGTGGTTGGCGTCCGGCGTCTGGCGTCCGGCGTCTGGCGTCCGGCGTCCGGCGTCTGTAACAATTTCTTACAACTTCCTATAACTTAACAAATACTGTTTAGACTGACTTAAATTTTTTTTCTAAATCATCTACATGTTCTCAGAAGTTCAAATCTGACTTTAGATTTGACATTTGACCTTCAATGACCTTCTCAAGGTCAAAAAGGTCTTTTTTCAACTTGCTTCACATTGACTAAATTTTTTTTCAAAATCATCTACATGTTCTCAGAAATTCAAATCTGACTTTAGATTTGACTTTAGATTTGACATTTGACCTTCAAATCTGACTTTAGATTTGACATTTGACCTTCAATGACCTTCTCAAGGTCAAAAAAGGTCAAAAAGGTCTGTTTTCAACTTGCTTCAAATTGACTAAATTTTTTTTTCAAAATCATCTACGTGTTCTCAGAAATTCAAATCTGACCTAAGATTTGACATTTGACCTTCAATGACCTTCTCAAGGTCAAAAAAGGTCAAAAAGGTATTTTTTCATCTTGCTTCAAATTGACTAAATTTTTTTTTCAAAATCATCTACATGTTCATAGAAATTCAAATATGACTTTAGATTTGACATTTGACCTTCAATGACCTTCTCAAGGTCATAAAAGGTCAAAAAGGTCTGTTTTCAACTTGCTTCAAATTGACTAAATTTTTTTTTCAAAATCATCTACGTGTTCTCAGAAATTCAAATCTGACTTAAGATTTGACATTTGACCTTCAATGACCTTCTCAAGGTCAAAAAAGGTCAAAAAGCTCTGTTTTCAACTTGCTTCAAATTGACTAAAAAAATTTTTCAAAATCATCTACGTGTTCTCAGAAATTCAAATCTGACTTTAGATTTGACTTAAGATTTGACATTTGACCTTCAATGACCTTCTCAAAGTCAAAAAAGGTCAAAAAGGTCTTTTTTCAACTTGCTTCAAATTGACTAAATTTTTTTTTCAAAATCATCTACATGTTCTCAGAAATTCAAATCTGACTTTAGATTTGACATTTGACCTTCAATGACCTTCTCAATGTCAAAAAAGGTCAAAAAGGTATTTTTTCATCTTGCTTCAAATTGACTAAATTTGTTTTTCAAAATCATCTACATGTTCTCAGAAATTCAAATATGACTTTAGATTTGACATTTGACCTTCAATGACCTTCTCAAGGTCAAAAAAGGTCAAAAAGGTCTGTTTTCAACTTGCTTCAAATTGACCCAATTTTTTTTCAAAATCATCTACATCTTTTCAGAAGTTCAAATTTGACTTTACAAGTTCTCAGATGTTCAAATCTGACTTTAGATTTGACCTTTGACCTTCAATGACCTTCTCAAGGTCAAAAAGGTCTTTTTCAACTTGCTTCAAATTGACTAATTTTTTTTTCAAAATCATCTACATGTTCTCAGAAGTTCAAATCTGACTTTAGATTTGACTTTTGACCTTCAATGACCTTTCAAGGTCAAAAAGGTCTTTTTCAACTTGCTTCAAATTTACTTAATTTTTTTTTCAAAATCATCTACATGTTCTCAGAAGTTCAAATCTGACTTTACATTTGACATTTGACCTTCAATGACCTTCTCAATGTCAAAAAAAGTCAAAGAGGTATTTTTTCAACTTGCTTCAGATTGAACAATTTCTTTTTTCAAAATCATCTACAAGATCCCAGAAGCTCAAATCTTCAAAAACCTTCTTAAGGTCAAAAGGTATTTTCCAACTTACTTTAAATTGACCAAATTGTTTTAGGTGGTGACATTTTGTCATGTTTATGCCTTGTTTATTAATTTGTTGTCAAGGTGTATTATGTGTTGTACTGTACCAATGCAAATTGTCATTTATGTATATATACATTTGTTGAAGCATGCTATATATGGTGCTTTCACTGGCATTTTAAATCCAACCACTGTACATAAAAGATAAATTAAACAACCGTCATAAGATATTGTATCAATTTTGTTTTACATGTTTATGTATTTATACTCACAGGTGTGGGTAGAAATAAAAACTAAACTAAAAACTAAAAAAAACTAGAAAAAATGAATAGTTTGAAATAAACATTTAAAGCTATGAAATACATTAATCAGAGGATAGAGGTCCAGTTCTATCATATAATATTAATATGCAATATAAATGTTTGAAGTGTTCGACTTGAAATGAAAATCTCTTGGTTCAACTGAGCCAAGAGACATAACCCGCCTTAGAAAAAAGGAAAGAAAATTTTAGTTACCTTTTAGCTAATGGGTTTTCCAGAGATCACCTGCTAAAAGATTTATGGGATTCTAACAGGATTCATGCCTCCCAAATATTTTACAGAATTATATTAATTCAGACATGTTTTCAACTGAAATTGAAATAGAGTGGATTCCCTGTATCACATAAACAGTTTTCCATTACAAAGATATGAAAGTTATCCCATGATGAAAGTGAAAGTAAGTCTTATGTATTACAGAAACTGGTAGTAGTGAAGGCCAAGAGGACTCCTTGGCCTCAGACACAAAGGAGACAGACTCCAAGTCAGATGAGCCTGGTGCTAGTGGTGATGCTAAGGAGTCTCCATCAGAAAAAGCAGACGACATTGAAACAGTGCCATCTAGCGAGCAAGCTGAAAGAGATGTCAACCAGTCTACCCCAGTTCCAGGTTAGAAAAACATGGAGATGTGTACCTTTCCCAAAATCACACTTAGACATGCATAAGCAGCTGCTCTATTTGTTAAAATGTATATGATTTTATCAAGGCATTATCGCTCATGTATGGTCAATCGGGGCTTGAAATTGGTCACAGTGGAAAGTGATTGAGGTGTCAGAACATTCAAAATGGCTAGATTAATTCCATAATTTGCACTAATTTTGATATATCTTCAAAGTATTACATTATTTTGCCCAAATTGAAGGTATTTTAGTGTAGTGATTGAATTCACATTATTTTGAGATCTCCTCAAAGTATAGCTTCATTTTATTCAAAAGGAATGCATTGAAAAATAGATTTGAAATATTTTTAAAATGTGCCATGGGAAAGTCAAAATAGCAGAACAATTGACATATGAACATAGGATTTTCACAGCTGTTGTTTTGACATAGAACAGAGACAATAAAACATGTTTTTTTATATGTCTCCATGCACTTTATCTCATTTACACCCAAAGGTCCTTGTCACTAGAATATTTTGTCATGTTAAGCGAAACAATGTTGTGTGAAATGAAAATGAAAAACTGCTTCATTATTACATTATGATTAGTCATTTTTGTTTTCAGTTTTGTTTTGTTTTATCATTCGATATGAGAGCCATCTATTTTCAATGTTGAGTTTTAAAAGCATGAAGTTTTTGAACAGAAATATGACCAACTGTATTTTTTCTCATATATTTATATAGTCAATATAGTCTACCTTATCATATCCATTAAAAGACATAAATGTATATGAACAAAATCAGAAAATACTGTATATAGAAAGACATAAATGTACATTTTCAGAATCTCCACAAGTAGAATCTTCCACCCCACTGATGGGATTTGCTACTTTGTGGAGTTGCTGTTTTCTAGTTTTCTTATTTCAAAAATTGGATGTAGATGTATGAGATAAATGTACATGCATATAAAAATAGATAAATATACTTTTTCAGAACCCTCACAAGCAGAATCTTCCACCCCACTGGAACAGAAAACAGATTCACCTGATAAAATTGAAGAAAGTGAAAGTAGTAAGAATGAGGAAAATAAGACAGAAAATGCTGATGGACCAAAACCTGATACTGACAGTGATACCAAGGAGTCTTCAGAACAAAAAGCTCAAGACCTTAGTGTCGGTGATGGTGATAAGGGGTCTGAGGGCACTAAGGCAGAATCAGTTGAGGAGGATGTTAAGGAAGAAACCACAAAGGAAGAAGAAAAGATTGGCATTGAAAATGGAGATGGAGATCATGCCAAAGAAAAGCCCATTGCACAAGTAATAAATTTTAATTGTTGTTTCCATATTCTTGCATTCTGGTATACCTCAGGCCTGTGTGATCATACCCATTTATAAGGTTTTGATGACCTTGGATATTCTGTAATTATTCTGACATTTTGAATGAATTTGTTAACTTTCATATATTTTTGTACACTCTGTCCTTGCCAAGGAAAAAGAAAAATTGAAAGCCAATCTTTTAATAATGTAACTAATGTGAAGATAATGGACAGCAAACTAATTAAATGAAATGTTTAAAGTTACATGTAACCATGAAGTTTTTGAACAGAAATATGACCAACTGTATTTTTTCTCATATATTTATATAGTCAATATAGTCTACCTTATCATATCCATTAAAAAACATAAATGTATATGAACAAAAAATGAACAAAGGCCCAAAGGGGGATTTCAGGAGGGGATTTTTGTAGGGGAGGAGGGTCTAATTACCCAGCAATATTCTTTTTTTAATGATTTTGTGAATAATTTTGAGCTTCAGTGTATGCATTAAATTATGTACATTGCCCAGGGGGATATTAGTATAGTAAAATCTTATAACCTCTGTTTTCCTTTTGTTTTTAAATTCATGAGAAATATGATTCTGGCAGACATTGGTATTGACCTTGTCCCATAGTAATGACTTTTTGTAGCATAATATATTTCATTCTATCACTTAGGAACCTGAACCAACTTCTCCAGCAACCATTGATGTAAATGTCAATATAGGGGGAGCCACTATAGATGAATCCACTGATGACACACCCCAAAATAATTCTGCAATAATTGAACCTGTGAAAACAGAAATGGTAAATGGGATGGACACTGAGAAAGTACAAAATGGTACAGATGAGACAGATTCTAAGCAGGATGGTGGTATTTCTTCGATTGCTGTCACTCAGGTACCAAAAGAGCTTAAGATTTAGGAAGATGTTTCTGTCTGGCTGTTTTTTGCAATATCCCCAAATTGCAGTGTTCATTCACAAAGAATATGAGGATACATGTCGACTGCCTTTTAAATTAGAAACTGCTCTTTGATTGTTTATTTTGAATGACCAAAATAAGGTCTATATTACATATATACTATATTGAAATTAGTGTCTTTATAATGCATGACTTATCCTCAAATCAAATGGTAATCCTACCTTAGAGGGAATTTCTTAAGTTTCCTTTTGTAACATCATTTGTGAATTCAATGTGTCAAAATATTACATCATGACTTGGATATTTCTCTGGATTAAAATGTGAAATAGAAATAAGAAATGAAATAAAATGGAAATCACATTAGAAAATTGCTTATTGATTGTAACAGGGTAGTACTTTGGGAGACAACCAAGAGCGTCCAACATCCCTCGATCTGAGCCAGTCACATATTCCAAGTCCAGTGAGGAACCTTCCGAATCCTGAGGTCAAATCCGTCGCAAATCTTACAGACCGTTTAGAGAAATGCCTCGGGTCAGCAGCCCCTCTCCTCCGAGAAATATTTACAGATTTTGCCCCATTTTTATCGAAGACACTTTTAGGGTCACATGGCCAAGAATTGTTGCTTAGCGGCACTGGTAAGAGACATAACATTCTTCATCTGTTTTTAAGGATATACAGTGTAGGCTCATTTTTAGCTCATTTTATTTAGCTTCTTTATGAGATAAAATACACTGTTTATACTGGTATATGATATATGATATATAAATGTTATGCTCTTTATCTGTGTTTTCCAATGATAGTTTCATATATTAAACTTTTTTATAATGATACACACTGTATAAATATAAACACCTTTCGAAGTCCATTAAAATGAACATTCATTTCAGTAATATTTCAATAATCATAATCAATAAATTTTCATGTTTATTTTTTAAGGTATGATGACATTGAAACAGAGTACCTCCACAATTGAACTAGTTATGCTTCTATGTTCACAAGAGTGGCAGAATTCTCTACAAAAACACGCTGGGCTTGCATTTATTGAACTAGTCAATGAGGGCAGGTCAGTTCTATAATGAATATATTGAACTAGTGTCAGTTTAGGGTAGCAAAACAATGAGAATTTCAAATTGAGGTTTTCCATGATTAATTTATCTGAAAAAACATATTTTTTTCTTAATTTGTCTTGTTGTTTTATTCTTAAGACATATGACTTATATGCAGTAATGCAATATTATTAGATATCAAACTACATTAAGTGTATATTTGAGAAAACATCTTACCTATGTGTATTAGTCTCTGTTAAAGGTTCACTTAAAAATATTCTAGGTATTCACATGTGACAACTTTGGCCCAAAACCACTTGAAAATGCTCGGAATGGTAAAAAACTGCATGATTTTGAAAGAATTTTTGGCCAACCCTCCCTCAAATCCCACCCATCTGGCTACATACCTGCTATATCTCTTTAAGGAAATTAGTTGAAATTATTTATCCATGTTAACTTGTCATTGAAATAAATTATCCATTTTAACCGCTTGTAGGTTTCTATCGCATGCAACACGAGACCATATTGTACGTGTGGCCAATGAAGCAGAATTCATATTGAATAGAATCCATGTTAATGCTTTGTAGGTTGCTGTCGCATGCAACACGGGACCATATTGTACGAGTGGCCAATGAGGCAGAATTCATATTGAATCGAATCCATGTTAATGCTTTGTAGGTTGCTGTCGCATGCAACACGGGACCATATTGTACGAGTGGCCAATGAGGCAGAATTCATATTGAATCGAATCCATGTTAATGCTTTGTAGGTTGCTGTCGCATGCAACACGGGACCATATTGTACGAGTGGCCAATGAGGCAGAATTCATATTGAATCGAATCCATGTTAATGCTTTGTAGGTTGCTGTCGCATGCAACACGGGACCATATTGTACGAGTGGCCAATGAGGCAGAATTCATATTGAATCGAATCCATGTTAATGCTTTGTAGGTTGCTGTCGCATGCAACACGAGACCATATTGTACGTGTGGCCAATGAGGCAGAATTCATATTGAATAGAATGCGTGCAGAGGATGTACAGAAACATGCAGACTTTGAGGTTTGTTCATTTTATTGTATCTTTCAAAACCAAGGTGAATCAGAATTCTGATTCTACAGGGTGGGCCAATAAAAATGTCCATATTTTTATTTTGTAATATCTTCGCTGGTATGTTATAAATATCCATAAATTATATATCATTTGAAAGATAATTCAATTTCCAACAAATTGATGTACGATTCATAAGATATGAATGGCTATTAATGACTCCGTGGTAATTTCTGTATCATGGGGTAGAACCAGTGGAAAACAACATTTCGCTATATGTTTTGAGCTTAATACATAATATTGCATTGCTTAATCAACTCTTTTAGGCTTTTACATATGAAGAAAAGGTATTGGAGTTGAGTTATATCCCCAAATCATGATTTTGGCCTCTGTGGTAATTGAAACTGGAATGCTATGGAAACTGGAATGCTATGGAAATTGAATTGTCTTTCCAATGATATATGATTTAAACATTTGTCTAATATTTAAAATGTTGTAGCAAAACAAAAATATGGACGATTTTATGGCCCACCCTGTAGAGTTCGTCTTTTGGAACAATTTTAACTTATGATTCCAAGAAAACCATTGTCTGCTTTTTGACGGACAATGACTTGTAACTAAATAGGGATGAATTTAAAATCTAATTCTTGTTACAAAATGGCTTTCTCCCCAGATGAACACTTTTATTGATACTCACTCTCAAACGATATTTTCAATAAATTTTCAAATTGTAATGATACACTAAAAATATGCTCCCCTGGTGACCGAGTATGTTTTAAATTTGAATTCATGTTGATAATAAATAATAATTTGAATGAATAAATGATATATTTAATGAATAAATTGAATGAGTCAATAATAAATTGAACGAATATATGATATATTGAATAAATAAACATTAGATTGAATGAATAAAAGACAAAAAAAAATTAAAGTAAAAAATTGTTTTCAGTCTGTATGTGCCACAACTCAACTTGAGAGACGAGAAGAGGAGAAAGTCTGCGATCATTTGATAACATCAGCTAGACGTCGCGACCACGTTGTTGCTTCTAAATTACTTGATCGTGTCATAAACCTTTTGACCAATAAACATGGGGCATGGGGTGAACATGATCAAAAGTAAGTAGCAGCAAAAATGACGACCAACATATGAAGATAACCCTATTTGGAATTTTGGAATACTGAAAGTTTTTGCAGATCTTCTGTAATGTTTGTAGAAATGTATATATTTGGAATTCAATGTAGTTTGTTCTAAATGAAAGAATGAAACATCTCGAAAACAGTGAAAAGTGTATCATTTCATAAAGAATTTTGAGAACTCTCGTCTTACAGGCATCTGAAAGATCAATGACAATGCTGTGGTTAGTTTTTTTATGAGTTTTCAGGAATATTGTCTCTAAAGTATATTTGAACAAAAATGTTTTAGGAGGAATGAATTTTGGAAACTCGATACATGGGAAGATGACTCCAGGAGAAAACGTCGATTTATTCACAATCCTGTAGGCTCAAGTCATCCCGAGGCCACTCTCAAGGCAGCGATCGAACATGGTAAGGGATTTAACCAATCAGTGACAGTCATGGAAAAATGTTTTTGGAAAAAAAGTTTTGGGAAAAAATTCTGAAATGTGTGGGAGGTGATGAGTTAATTGTTTTACATACTTACTTTTTTTCCCCTTTTTTCTGAAGGATGAAACATTTGTAATTTGACTTAGTTACTCATATTTCTTGGAATTTTGATATCTGTTTAATACAGTAAACCCTGTGGAACATATCTGTGAATGGAACAGCTCACAAATTTTTTATTATTTTATTGAATAGATAAACATATATAAACTTTTACAAATCTTGTTTCTAAGCAGTTTCAAAATATATTTTCTCATTCGACATTGTTTCTTACATATTTTTTCATATTCAAGTTTTACATCAGTATTCTTAATTTTAATACCAGGTGCTACAGAAGATGCTATAAACCAGGCGAGAGAAGCGTTCCACGCTCATGTTGCATCCATGAAGAAATCCCGCCAGCAGGAGGATGAGGATGACAACTCACTGCTTGATGAGAGAGAACTGGATCAAGAATTTGTTGGTAAGTCAAATATTGTTGTATCTTGTTCAATATCTTGTATCTTGTTCAATGGACTTTACGATATTACACCTTATAATTGGAATCCTCATGACTGTAATAACTTGAAAGAAAAATACAGGGTGATCAGTTTGAAAGAAAAATACAGGGTGATCAGAGTAACGTCAAAGGTTCTTTTTAACCTTTTGAATATCCTATTCAGCGTTTTCTTTACTTTTTGTTTCATTTTAGATAAAAATGGAAAAAGTAAGTTCTCAAATGTAACTCATTGCTTCCAAATGCTTTGGGCAATGCTATCACTTGTACTGGATGGGAACATGTAATTTTACTGATTAAGTACTGGAGCATGACAAGAAATGTAAAGAATTTCACACAATTATTTTTTTACTGAAAGGCTGCTTATGCATTTTTCAGTAGGAAACTTATTGGAATTATGAAAGCATTATGAAGTTAGTGAAAATGGTGCATATTTCTTAGCTTGTATTCGTGAATGCAACTTTTGGCCATCAGCTATCGGATTAATAACGTACTATTTTACCATATGGCAACTCATTTAAATATGAATAGTACCTGCCACTATTCCATTCATATTTAAATAAGCTGGTCATAAAATAGTAGGTTGATCCCATAGCCGACAGTGGAAAGTTGCGTTCGTGAATACAACCTTACACTCTAAAATATTGTTTTACTATTACATCATTACTACATTAACGCAAAGGTTTGAGATTGTGTGTCTCAATATTATGTTATTTTTGAAAGATAAAACTTTAAATTATTTCTTGGTGAAGTACTAGAAAAGATCAATTGCATCAAGTTATCCAAACATTTTAAAATGGGTCATTAAATCCATTTATTTCTTCTAAAAACTCAAGCAATTGTTCCCACCCAGTGTGCTATGACTTGTAATCATGTTATGACTTGACCTGTGGTAATGCTATGACTTGTGGTAATGCTATGACTTGTGGTAATGCTATGACTTGTGGTAATGCTATGACTTGTGGTAATGCTATGACTTGTGTTGATGCTATGACTTGTGATAATGCTATGACTTGTGGTAATGCTATGACTTGTGGTAATGCTATGACTTGTGATAATGCTATGACTTGTGGTAATGCTATGACTTGTGATAATGCTGTGATTTGTGGTGATGCTATGACTTGTGATAATGCTATGACTTGTGGTAATGCTATGACTTGTGATAATGCTATGACTTGTGGTAATGCTATGACTTGTGGTAATGCTATGACTTGTGGTAATGCTATGACTTGTGATAATGCTATGACTTGTGGTAATGCTATGACTTGTGATAATGCCATGATTTGTGATAATGCTATGACTTGTGGTAATGCTATGACTTGTGGTAATGCTATGACTTGTGATAATGCTATGATTTGTTTGTGGTGATGCCATGACTTGTGATAATGCTATGACTTGTGGTGATGCTATGACTTGTGGTAATGCTATGACTTGTGGTAATGCTATGACTTGTGGTAATGCTATGACTTGTGGTAATGCTATGACTTGTGGTAATGCTATGACTTGTGATAATGCTATGACTTGTGGTAATGCTATGACTTGTGATAATGCTATGACTTGTGGTAATGCTATGACTTGTGGTAATGCTATGACTTGTGGTAATGCTATGACTTGTGGTAATGCTATGACTTGTGGTAATGCTATGACTTGTGGTAATGCTATGACTTGTGATAATGCTATGACTTGTGGTAATGCTATGACTTGTGGTAATGCTATGACTTGTGGTAATGCTATGACTTGTGATAATGCTATGACTTGTGGTAATGCTATGACTTGTGATAATGCTATGACTTGTGATAATGCTATGACTTGTGATAATGCTATGACTTGTGATAATGCTATGACTTGTTATAATGCTATGACTTGTGGTAATGCTATGACTTGTGATAATGCTATGACTTGTGATAATGCTATGACTTGTGGTAATGCTATGACTTGTGATAATGCTATGACTTGTGGCAATGCTATGACTTGTGGTAATGCTATGACTTGTGGTAATGCTATGACTTGTGATAATGCTATGATTTGTTTGTGGTGATGCCATGACTTGTGATAATGCTATGACTTGTGGTGATGCTATGACTTGTGGTAATGCTATGACTTGTGGTAATGCTATGACTTGTGGTAATGCTATGACTTGTGGTAATGCTATGACTTGTGATAATGCTATGACTTGTGGTAATGCTATGACTTGTGATAATGCTATGACTTGTGGTAATGCTATGACTTGTGGTAATGCTATGACTTGTGGTAATGCTATGACTTGTGGTAATGCTATGACTTGTGGTAATGCTATGACTTGTGGTAATGCTATGACTTGTGATAATGCTATGACTTGTGGTAATGCTATGACTTGTGGTAATGCTATGACTTGTGGTAATGCTATGACTTGTGATAATGCTATGACTTGTGGTAATGCTATGACTTGTGATAATGCTATGACTTGTGATAATGCTATGATTTGTGGTAATGCCATGGCTTGACTTGTGGTAGTGCTTTCAATTGAGGTGCTTGAATGAATGATCTGAAAGTGTTAATATCTGAAGAAATTAATGAACTAGGAATGCAACATAATCTCAATATATATCACACTCACACATTTGAGAATATATAAAATTATATATGGTATACTGCGTTGTGTAGTTTTTGAACAAGGTTGTTTATGTATTAAGTTTGTCTTTTTTACATAATAAGCATGTACATATGGGTCATAAAATATGGGTCAATAAAATATGGGTCAATCCCAGTTGAGAAATACATACATGTTTAAAAGTTTTCAACTTATTGATTTATTTTTAATGAGGGCAAATCAACAGTTTAACTATTTGATTACTATCTTATCAACATTGAGGAGATCAAATATTCAGTTTATATCTTATATTTGTACCAATCAGACAAAATGGAATTAAATGAATATTTATTTTGTATCAACCAATCAAAATTGAGGAAAATGAATTTTTGCTTCCATCATCCAATCAAAATTGACGTAAAATAATGAATTAATCAAAATGGAAGATTTGAATATATTGATATCATGTATCAACCTGTCTTAAGTGAAAAATGAATAATTATTTGTATCAGCCAATCAAAAGTGAGCAAAGTGAATGTTCATATTTGTATCAGCCAATCACAAATGAGGAAAATTATTATTTATATGAACCAGTCTATCAAAATAGTTTATCAAATTAAATCAAGAAAAAAGAAAATTTATTTCAAATTATTTGTATCAACCACTTGAAGAGATTGACTATACCATCAACAGTGAAGAAGAAGAATTGATAATATGTGTGGATGATGAAGGAAACACCACAAAAAGACTAAGAAAGAAAAAGAAGAAGAAGCGTAAGATTTCCAGTTTGTGTTTAAATTTAATCTTATTTTTTATAGAGGTACATATATCTTGCACACAAAAATAGAGTTCCATGGCAGGAAAATGCAATTACCTTGACTTTAAGGATCTTGATTCTGGACAAGGCAATTGGTGTCAACCAATATTTCTATATCTAGATATGAATTTCAGTTGAGGAATGAATGTTCAAACATTTAAGTTTTGCATTGTAGAATGATAGATATGTATGTTCAGAGGTGATACACAAATATATAAAGATGTGTAAGATTTGGCACGAGAATGATGGAAAATGTATTAGAATTTGACTGCACTATATATACTCCCCTCCAAAGTTTCACAAAAACTGCACAGTTATACACCTCCTCCAAATTTTTGCCAACCCTGTATCCCTAATGGATCACTTGTCAAAGCATGTTCATGTTGATTTTTTGTAAATCTTTTTAAATCACCAAATAAAGAGGCATTAACCTGTACTATGGGAGTTGGTGTTTCCAGATCATCTGAAGGGAGTGTATGATGATATTGTAAATTAGAATCATTGATTGTTACCTAGAACTGTTTCACAAGATCACAATATGTGCACTTATACATATTTCTGCACAGATTTTCTATTTGAACATATTAAAGTTGCTTTTTTAAGGTACAATGAAGACACATTTGATCCGATGCTACAATACACCATTGGAGAGCCATTGTAATGTCACCTCTTTTGACAATGTTTGGTGATATGTTATAAAGTTGTCTACTAATCATTTCATCTGAATGATTGAATGAATGTATTCCAATTTTATTGTTGAATTATTGAAACCAATGAATTCAAATGTTAAATAATTATTTTTTAAATGAGTATATAAATTAGAAATAAATGTTAAACAGATATCAAAACTTCATTTGAAATTACTGCTTGTACGTCAATTTAACATTTTCCATATTTTTACATGCTCATTACTATTTAGTAAGTTTAAAGAGTTATTTTGTTTTCATAGATCCAGAGTTAAAATTTTATTTGGACCACAATTGTTATGAACTTTTTGTCATAATACTCTAACTAGGTATGGTATTTACCTGAAAAAATGTAAAATAGAAACAATGCACTAGAAGAGATGATGACTTGCATTTTTCGTTACTCGTTCCTCCGTAAGTATTTTATGGCAAGGTAGCCAACTGAGTGATAATGGAAAGTTAGAACAAACCAAAATTAAGCTAGATTTAATTTATGAGACCCAAATTAGTGAAGACTCTGTGCCATATTTAGCCAAAAAGGGTGGACACTTTAAATAACATAGGAACTCTTGGTTGGATTGGCTTGATATTTCATTCCTTACCTGAGACATCCTCCTAAGCAGGTGTCCAGAATCCGTACCTCCTTCCCCCCTGCAATAACCAATTTGGAAGCGCCCGATTAAACAGAATCACGTGATCTAATTATGTGCCGATGACGTATACATGATTGCTGTCGCAGTGTTGCGACAGCCAATCAGATTGCGAGTTCTTAATCGGGGAAATGCTAACTGCTTATTGCAGGGGGTAAAAAGAAAGAAGTATTCTGGATTTTGAAGCTCTGTGATTGGAGGATGTACCTGAGATAGTTGCACTCAATGAGTGAAATATTCAGCAAACTGGGCATGATAAAATTAAGTAACAATCTACATGTAGAAATGTTATGAATTTTTTTCGTATTTCCAGGTCCCGTAGCAGTATCAACAAAATGTAAACTTTTGGCCCCAGGAGTTGCCGTAAATGGTCAGATGTCAATTACAAAGACGGAACTATATTTTGAGATGGATGAAGATGACCCGGAGAACAAGAAAATCGATCAAAACGTATGTAAATTTTTAAAAAATTCATTGTTACGTAAGTTATTTCATCTTTTTCTGGACTCTTTATTGGGTTCTTCATTGCTTTTGAAAGTTTGTTATTTGACTCCTTTACGTCATGGTGAGGCATAAACTCAGCACGTGCAGGATATTACGAACTCTGCAGATGATAAACTTCAAATAAGAATGTCACACAAATAGACATGTTATTCAATTTCTGAGAAAATGTTATTAATAATAGTGAAAATATCCTGTTTCATAACGTCATAATTACATAAATTAAGGGAATCTGTTATTAAAGAATCACAGTTCACATGACTTACCAGTTAATAATAATTCCAAATGATGGAGTTCAGGCAATACAGGGTGTCAAATAAATATGTTCTTCCCCCTTAATTTCAAGAGTATGAACTTTTATGCATAAAAGTTCATCTGCTTGAGCTAGTCATCTGAAACTTCTTGTAGAGTTGCTCCATGAAGCCTAGTTTTAATGTGCTAAAGAACAATTTAGATAACTTGCAGACAAAAAAGTTATGCAACATTACAGTAAAACCTGTCTAATCCGAACACCCACGGGACCAGCCAAAAGCGTTCAAATTGGCAGGTGTTCAAATTTCGAGGATTTTGTTGGTCGGGGGGGGGGGGATTTTCATTGTTCAGTCCACTATATTGAACACTTAATACTAAGTCAGAAAACAATAAATGTTGTTGATGAGTTAATTCTACAATAGTCATATAGCCTGGTATATGCTATGTTTTATTTATATTTTGAACAATATCATCGTTTTAGTAAAAATAACTCTTATATTTTGGCAAAAACTTTGTAATACACTGTAAAAGTATATGATAGTCTCGTATGAAATCTTATGCTTATCAAATGACTTATCCCATATTATGGTAATATAGCACTGCTTTACTTTTGCTTGAAAAAGTCCTTCATTGTTGTTTGTTTCTTGGCACTTTTAGCATTAGCAATATTTGAGTAGATATCCTCTTCAAGTAAAAAGAATTTTTCATGAGTGTTCATTCGAGATGATGTATAATCCTTCAAAATATCAAGGGCATTCAGGATGTCAGATGTATACCTTTTATGAGACATTTTAGTGATAGGATATTACGAAGTTGAATTTCTCTCTTTCTTATGATATAATCTTGTCTGCAAATGTCGTCTGTGTTGTCCTTGTGATTATAAAACATTTGCTGATTGAATCTTAGCTATCATAACAGACCCATGGGATATTAAACAGTCAAGACCTGTTCATAATCCAAATCAAAAACATCCAGTTAATTTACAATAAGGATAAACCAATTAACTCCTGTATTCACACCTTTCCAAAACATCCTGTTGTTTTCCACAAATTAGGGATGTCACTGAGACTAAATAAGTTAGTTAGGACAATATTGGTTCTTTGATTACATTGTATATGTAAAGATAAATAACAACTATAACATTGACTTAATATTTGGCTATAATTGAAATGTCCAGACATTTGATTTCTGATAAAAATGTTCAGATTAGACAGGTCACTTTTTCAAATCTGGTTGTTCACTGTTCAAATTTCAAGTTTTTTTAACATGGGAGTCAATGGGAGGAAAAAATGGGACCGAAAAAAAGTGTTCAAATTGGAAGGTGTTCGGATTAGCCAGGTGTTCAGATATACAGGTTTTACTGTATGTGGATATTAAAGTTACTGGGGAAGAACATATTTATTTGACACCCTGTAGATATAGAGGAGGCCCCTCCCTCTCTTTCTGTCCGCAACTCAAATACTGCCCACCCTGCAATATATTTTATGTGTCATACACAATATATTTTATGTGTCATACACAATATATTTTATGTGTCACACACATTTGGAGTTCTGCTCCAAAGATGCTTGTTTTTCGTGGTAGTTTACATTTTTGTTCAAAATTGAAATTAATGTTGATTAGGTTTTTGCTGGGTGATTCACTTTGCAAGCATGACACACTAACTTTGCAAGCATGACACATTAACTTTGCAAGCATGACACATTAATTTTTAGCAAATATGGAATTCATTTTAAGAATTGTGCAATTGTGTTGTACACATAACAATATGTTTGATGGGATTTGCCTTAACAGCATTGCCATTATCTAGTACATATGGTTCAATAATATCTGTAAATTACAGTGTACATCGCAACAGGATGGAATTAATTTATATGAATTGGCAATTTGAGCTTTCTAAACTTGCCTGAATGGTTGATGCAACATTAATAACACTTGGTATGTAAATCATGAGTCTTATTACACATAGAATGGGCCTATATTGCTATTACTAATAGTCAGTGGCTCTGGGCAAAAATAACAAAAAGGTCAAGATAGTGTCACTCTTCTTTACCTTGCATTTGTTGTTCATGATCAACCCATTTGACTTATTAGTAATGATTATGTATTTGTTTTTATTTGTCTGTTCCTTATTTATGGTTTATCGGTTGAATGTTAGATGTTAATAAGGTACTTTAAAAAATGCACTAGACAATACAATTAGACAAACAGAGTATCTTATGCATTTCTAGGTGTTAGGTATAGTAGAGTGAGTGTATCTTTTGTTTTAAAACAATGTTCCATTAGAAGGACAATTTTTCTATTCAGCTGAAAGATATATTGTAACATTTTGGGCAGTGCAAATTTAAAAAAATCTAAATTATAATTTTTTAAGTAGAGACAGAAATGTGGTGCCAGAATAAGGATAACTCCATGAAAGTTGATACAAAGATGAAATCAATTAGCATCAATATTAAATTTATTTTTTAATACAACAAAACAATTCAATTCAATTGATTAATAATTTCTTGTATTGTATACACTATTAAATCATGCCGCTAGACACTCATGCCATATTTTGCGGTGAAACAGAATTAAAGTTTTACATACATCTAGACTACATTTAAAGAAAGCACTTACATATTTTATTATTTAATTAAGGTATCTACAATTATTTTTTAAGATGTACAATATAAAAAAATTAGAAAACAAACATAAATATAAGTCAGTATAAATTCTTAAATGCTAAAAAAATCTTGTATAATATCAATAAAGCGTAATATTCAGACACATTATCCATGGATGAAAGGATGACATGTAATGATAGTTTAAAGGATTGGTATCGATATGGTGAACTGAATTTAACACTGTTTTTCTCTTAAACCAATTATTGAAAACATTCTTGTAAAAAAACATGGTCCTTTATGTAAGGTTGACTGATTGGCAACAATTTAATGCAGAAATAATTTATATATATTTTATATAACTGTTTTTGTTAACATTTTTGTTTTTTAGTGCAATTGTTTTTTGTTCCTTTCTACAAGTTCTAGAGAATGAAATAAAATGTCTTTTCGAACCTTGTTGGAACAAAATAGCATATACAGTTTGTTTTTAGACCTCTCAATATTATAGTTATACAAAGGAAATTTTGGTTGATTTCGCAAAAAGTAATCAAAAATTTTAAAGAAACAAAAAGATAAAAATTAAGATTTTATTTCATTAACAACCAAAATTTCAATACCGAAAGACCTAAACACATTGTGTTTATGTTGTTTTGTTCAAATGAGGTTCGGATAGATGTTTCATTTTCATGTTATCAATTTATTTCTAATATAACCATTTACATTCAATTACAAATTCTAATTGCCAAGGTTTTGCAACATTAGCGGCAATTTAATATATATATTATATTTACATGTAGATATTAGATAATGAAATAAGATAAATTTGTTAAGGTTATTTCAAAATACCTGAAGGTTATCCCATGGGCCGGGATGTTAACGGAACTTGAAAAATAATTCGGTCATTGCAGAAAAAAGGACTTGTCAAATTACTACTAGATAGATAATAAAACAAGACTTGTATGTATATAATAGCTAACAATATGAATTAAAGCTTCATTCATAGTAGCATCCAGGTTAGTGCTTCCAAACAGTAATGTTTCATTTCATTCCAAAAATATGATACCAAGAACAAAAGATGTGTCTAATGTGTTTTCTAAAACAATATAGGAAAAGAATATATATATATTTCAAAAAATTATATTGTTACCATTCAAAAATGACCATTAAATTGATGATGTGTAAAATTTTTACAATTTTTTGATGACTGGCTTAAGAGAAACATGTTCATAAAGTTCACCACATTGATACCAATTCTTCATCTAATTTTACACATACACAATTTCTTGCATTTAAGAACTTTTACAAAAGCCATTCTAAATTGCCTGTTACCTGCAATCAGAATGATGAAATTGAAAATCGGGTTGAATCCGATCATTGTTGCACTTATGAAATTAATTGTTGGGGAACTTGTTATCATTTTCTCGTAATATTGTGATGAAATTGAGATGAAGTTTGTTACAGTGTATGGGATGATACATAAGATAAATACTATAAGAATGGCACATATTTGACGACAGAGTTTTGAGATATGATGCATCCAGTTTTTATATGTGCGTCTCTTATTTTGAGCATTTAGATCGCATATAGGTACAATTTTGTTACCTTGTCCATATGTGTTATGTTGATAACTATTATTCAGTCTCCTTTTGGCTTCAGGTTCAGGGTTATGACTGCTAGGTCCTACAAGAATTTCCTCATGTTTAGGTCTTAGAGTGCTAGGCCCTGCAACAATTTCTTCGTTTTTCAAGTTAAGAATACTAGGTCCTGCAACAATTTCCTCATGTTTGGGTCTAAGAGTGCTAGGTCCTGCAACAGTTTCCTCTTGTTTGGGTCTAAGAGTGCTAGGCCCTGCAACAATTTCCTCATTTTTCAAGTTAAGAATAATAGGTTCTACTACAGTTTCCTCATGTTTGGGTCTAAGAGTGCTAGGTCCTGCAACAGTTTCTTCATCTTTCGAGTTAAGAATTCTTGGTTCTTCAACAGTTTCCTCATATATAGGTCTAAGAGTGCTAGGCCCTGCAACAATTTCTTCATTTTTCAAGTTAAGAATACTAGGTTTTGCAACAGTTTCCTCCTGTTCTTCAATGGAGTTCCCATGTTTGCCCCTATTAGGAAATGTTTGCTTTTTATTTGCATTGAAATGAGAACCTTTAGCATTTGATTTTGAAGGAATTGATGAACCTATGGCATTTTTGTCCATTTTAAGTAATTCAAAGGGCCTATGTGTTTGAGTTTCAATTATTCGAGGGATTCGAGGATCTAGATTTTCATTTTCCTGGAATTTGGTAACATGAGCTTTGATCTTAAGATAAACACCAATTTGTAGTAGAATGAGAATAACAATATGCGCCACTAAAATAACACCTCCAATGAGAAGATAATTTCTATGAAGTTGGCCATTGTTAACTTGGCAAAAAGTTACTTTCATATTGGGGTGTCGCGTTCCAAATCCCAATAATGCAAACACCGTCCACATTAACCATGTTGTACATAGCAATGCTGTCCCACATCTCTTTGAGAAGAAGTTCCTGTTGATGAGTGTATAGTGCGCAACCAGAAAAGCCTCAACATATAAAAGTAATACACTTGACATTGTCACTCCTGTGGAAATAATCACTAGCATCAGTATCGTCATACATGCCGATGGATTGTCCAATTTGTTATTTATCCCCAATGCTGTGCGTACAATACCTAATAGTCCCATGGCAATTCCTCCTAAAGACAGACCACATTTGAAATAATTTGAAACTGTTTGTAATCGTTTCGTTTTCACTATTGTTACCATAACAAGTATATGTAGCACGACAATTGTGAATCCCATGATACTGCGGATATAATATGCCACATTGCCTTGGTTGTCTTGGACAATGTGTGTCAGGTTTGTTGTGTGGGTAGAGTTGATTAATGTCACTGTTGTGTCCGACATTCTTCCAATTTTCTGCAGGCATTTAACAGTGAATGACTCTGTTTTATGATAAATTTTACATATTTATTTAATCGTGTTTTATTTTTTCTTCTATTTTATTTATATTTTGTTCAATATATATTATGTTACTGCTTTATTTCTTTTTATTGTATTATTTATGTTGATATTTTGTCCAATATTCCTATCTTTTAGTTGATTTGTGTCTTGTCTCAACCAGTGACAGGATTTATTAATTAATATATATCACTTATATTATATTGTTGACATATATCCATCCTATTATTACTATTGGCATGAGGAGTATTCTATAACAATTCGTTAAATTTGATATGTAATGAATGCCCTAATGAACAATACTTTATTATTGGTTATTTTTCTCATAGTCGTCATATTAAATAGTAATTATTAAACATTGCTGAGGCAAGGACCATTGGATAAACATGTGATTTGACTTTGCCACGTGAATTTTATGCTAATTTAATTACCATTCATTTATTTCTGTGATGGACAATATTTGAGGGATGATTTCAAAGGTAATGGAAATGATTTATGGACATATTCCAGATAATCCCTATAATTTGTCTGATTTTTCACAATTAAAGTTAAATCACTCAATTATTTAAGTGTCATATGAGTGAATATTGGACAGTTTTTTCAAAAGCTTGCATCACTCAAATCAAACTGCCTGCAATTTTTTCAAAATTAGACATTTTTACTAAAGCTATTACTACTATATTATCTATTACTGTTGTTATAATATGTTCAATGTGAATTATTTGACATGGGCTTAGTTTTTGCCAAAATAACACACTTCTATTGGCCGGTCTGTTATTTCCATTATAAAATGATTTCTTAAAATCATCAGTCTTGTTTTGGTAGAATTTAGTTCTCCAGGAAGTTGGTGTTTAATAGGATTTACATGTATATATTTTTTACTTTTTGTTATAACTTCATATGTAATTTAGCAATTTGGAAAAATTACAGCCAATTTTAGTGTTGCTTTCCATTTTTGATATATATATGCTTTTTTGATATTTAATATGTTACATAGGAAGCATGAGGCTCTACCTTTAAGGGATAACTGAGTATATATACGCTACTAAGTAACAATGCAATGTGGTGTAAGCTGCAAAGCATATGCTCTGTGTCTTGTACGTACCTTGTTAGTCAAATTGTAATAATTATCATATAGAAATAAATATAACATAACATAACCATTGAAAATATTGGAATCGCTGAAACAAGTTAAAATGATTTGTTTTAGAACTATGTTTACCCCACCCCCATATTGATATGCTGAAATTTTAAACATTGCCTCAATATTATGTAACCACAAGTGGTGACATGTTGTTTTAGTCTTCAACTTTCTGTAACCAGTGTTTGATGGTTGGTGTTTGGTGTCTTACAGTGTTTGGCATCTGTAACGGCTTTTGGGGGTCAGCGTCTGTAACAAATGGTGGATGGCAACATTTTGCACTTTATAATTCAATAATCATAGAATGATTTTGATATTTCATTTGTAAATACATACAAGCATGACACATTATCTTTTAGCAAGATGAAAAATATGGAATTAATTTTGAGAATTGATATCTGTCACTTAACAAGATGTTCTGTGGTGTTTGCGTTAGCATTGCCATTATCTTTGTATAGTTCATCTGATATCTAACATTTTGCACTTTATAATTCAATAATCATAGAATGATTTTGATATTTCATTTGTAAATACATACAAGCATGACACATTATCTTTTAGCAAGATGAAAAATATGGAATTAATTTTGAGAATTGATATCTGTCACTTAACAAGATGTTCAGTGGTGTTTGCCTTAGCATTGCCATTATCTTCGTTTAGTTCATCTGATACAAATTACCATGTGCACAATATTGCAACAGGATTCATTGAAATAAAGATGCATTAATTTGCAATTTGAGCTTTCTAAGCTAGATTGGTGACTGCCATACAATTAATAACACTTAATGTGCAAATCATAGTCGTATTACAAAGGTTATGGTGGTTATTGCTACAAGTGAGTTGCCCTGTTCAGAAAATAACAAAAAGGTCAAAATATTATTTTCTTGAAAACAATGGAACAAAGTGAATTTTCTATTGAGTGGAAGTGATGCATTTTGCAAATTGGCAAAATTGTGGCATTTTGCAAATTGGTAGAATTGTGGCATTTTGCAAATTGGCAAAATTGTGGCATTTTGCGAATTGGCAAAATTTCTTCAAATAATCATATGATCATGATCTTTTTTCTAGAAGAAATGAAATTGTGGTTCAACTATTGAGCACAACAGTGTCAGAAAAAGGATTACTTCATGAGAGTTGATACAAAGATAAAACATATACTTGTATATTTATTTAATAAAGTGAAACACAAGCAATATAGCAGTAGTGTAAATCTATCTAATTTTACACATACACACTATCTTGCATTTAAGAACTTTTACAAAAGCCAATCTAAATTGTCTGTTCCCGGCAATCAGAATGATGAAGTTGAAAATTGGGTTGAATCCAACCATTGTTGCACTTATGAAATTAATTAACGGGAAACTTGTTATCACTTTCTCATAATATTCTGATGAAATTGAGATAAAGTTTGTTATAGTGTAGGGGGTGAAACACAAAATAAATGCTACAAGAATGGCACATATTTGACGACAAAGTTTTGAGATATGATGCATCCAGTTTTTATATGTGCGTCTCTTATTTTGAGCATTTAGATCGCATATAGGTACAATTTTGTTACCTTGTCCCTTTTGGGCTATGTGTTCAGGGTTGTGACTGCTAGGTTCTGCAACAGGTTCCTCATTTTTAGAGTTATGAATGCTAGACCCTGTAAATGTTTTATCATGTTTAAAGTTAAGAGTCCTAGGTCCTGCAACAGTTTCCTCACGTTTAGAGTTAAAAGTGCTAGAACCTGCAACAGTTTCCTCATATTTAGAATTAAGAGTGCTAGGTCCTGTCACAATTTCCTCATGTTTAGAGTTAAAAGTGCTTGGACCTGCAACAATTTCCTCATGTTTAGAGTTAAAAGTGCTAGAACCTGCAACAATTTCCTCATGTTTAGAATTAAAAGTGCTAGGACCTGTCACAATTTCCTCATGTTTAGAGTCAAAAGTGCTTGGACCTGCAACAATTTCCTCATGTTTAGAGTTAAAAGTGCTTGGACCTGCAACAGTTTCCTCATGTTTAGAGTTAAAAGTGCTTGGACCTGCAACAGTTTCCTCATGTTTAGAGTTAAAAGTGCTTGGACCTGCAACAATTTCCTCATGTTTAGAGTTAAAAGTGCTTGGACCTGCAACAGTTTCCTCATGTTTAGAGTTAAGAGTGCTAGGTCCTGCAACAGTTTTATCATTTTTAAAGTTAAGAATTCTAGATTGTGCAACAGTTTCCTCATTTTTGGAGTTAAAAATGCTTGTTTCTGCAACAGTTTCCTCATGTTGAAAGTCAAGAATATTTAGTTCTGCAACAGCGTCCTCATGATCAAAGTTAGAAGTGCTCAGTTCTGCAACACTGTCCTCCTGGCTTTGTTTTGCAAGAGTTTTCTCTTGTTCAGAGTTAAGGGAACTAAGTTTTGCAACAGTTTCCTCATGTTCAAAGTTTAAAACGCTAGGTTCTGCAACACGGTTCTCATATTTGCCCCTCTTAGAAAATGATTGCTTTTGAGTGGCATAAAAACTGGAGCATTTGGCATTTAATTTTGAAGGGGTTGATGAACCCATGGCATTGTCACCCATATCAGGTAATTCAAAGGGTCTTTGAGTTTCAGTTGTACAACTTTGAGGCTTCGATGATTGGAGAACTACATTTTCATTTTCCTGGAATTTGGTAATATGAACTTTGATCCTCAGATAAACCCCAATTTGCAGTAGAATGAGAATAAGAATATGGGCCACGAAAACAACACCTACAATGAGAAGGTAATTTCTATGAAGTTGCCCATTGTTAACTTGGCAAACAGTTCCTTTCATGTTTGGCTGTCGCGTTCCAAATCCCAACAATGCAAACAGCATCCACATTATCCATGTCACCCCCAGTAGTCCTGCACCGCATCTCTTTGAGAAGAAGTTCCTGTTGATGAGTGTGTATCGCGCTACCAGAAAAGCCTCAACATATAAAAGTAATACACTCGACATTGTCACTCCTGTTGAAATAATCAGAAACATCAGTATTGTCATACATGCTGATGGATTGTCCAGCTTGTTACTTATTCCCAATACTCCCTGTACAATAGCTGACAGTCCCATTACAATCCCTCCTAAAGACAGACCACATTTGAAATAATTTGAAACTGTTTGTAATTGTTTCGTTTTCACAATTGTTATTATAATGAGTATATGTAGTATGACAATCATGAATCCTACCATACTGCGGAAATAATATGCCACCTTGCCTTGGTTGTCTTGGACATTGTGTGTAAGATTTGTTGTGTTATTAGTGTCCGTTGATATGGTAATTGTTGTGTTTAGCATTATTGTTCCAATTTTTGGCAGGCATGCAACAGTGATTAATGACGTTTTTATCTTATCCTTTCCATTTCAAAATTCCTTCAAAAAACTCTTCCTGTCTCTTTTGTTTGAATATATTGTCTTTCTATTTAATCTCTTTATGTTTTTTCTCTATTTTTCTCTTATTTTTCATTATTTTTTGTTTAATATGTATACTATATAACTCATTTTGTGGTATATTTTTGGTATATTTTCTTTTTTATCTTCGATGAATGGCACTACACCTGCATATGTCTTGGTCTTAACCAGAAACCAGTTATTAAATGTCAATTGTATCATCGTAGTGACGTGCATTGATATATATCCTATTATTACCATTGGCGTTAGGAGTATTATGTTTCTAATTAATAGTTTACTATGTGATGTTCTTTTTGTAGCATTTTTATACACTGTATATTAATGATACATAGCTTATTAAGACCCTGGGCAGGACCATAATTGGACAATGTTTTCACTTATTTCACACATAGCTAGGCAAGGTGCATCCAATTCCAGTCAATCAGAAAATCCAATTTCATATACATGTAACTGCATTGCATTATATAACCAACAATCCACCCAAGGTTATTTTTAGATTCCAGTGAAACAAATGAAACTTATAAGCTGATCATCTTCGATAAGTAAAAATCTATATTAGCACCAAAGGTCAAATGTTGAATGGTTGGAAAGGTGACCTTGGCAAAAGGTTTCTTTGAAAATGTATTCTTTTAAGTCAATTCATTTCTTTCAAGTGATATTTTACAAAATATTTGCAATGTTTGAATCTTTCCTAATCTTGGTTCTTGATGCTAGCATCTCGTCCTAAGTCTGGTGGAAAGATGTATATTTGTGAATAGTTTATGCAACAAGAAAATTTCCAAGATGGCTGCCACTTTAGAAATGGGGGGAATTTTTCATGAAAATCTTAAATTTTCATTTTAAACCAAAGTAATAAATATTATTGTTTGAAATTTTAGTAGTATATTCACAACATCTATCTATTTTATATATATTCCTAGTTTTTCACCATTACCCCAGGGGCCATGTATGGGGGGGTAGGGAAAATGGGAAATTTTTGTTAATTTTGATGTCTTTCTAAAGTACATGTATAGTCAAATGAAAGACAATTTAGAGTAGATTGCAAATATTGTATTGGTTTTGTAATTTGGGCCTCGTAAAATTCAAAATGGCTGCCTTATGTGAGATTTCGCAATAATTTTCTGATCCCTTTAAAGTATTAAAAATTCTTTCTAAAGTATACCTTTGTTATACTCAATTGAAAGGCAATTTAGAGTAAATGGCAACTATTGTATTGGTTTTGTAATTTGGGCCTCGTAAAATTCAAAATGGTCGCTGCTTATGTGGAATTTTGCAATTATTTTCTGATCTCTTCAACGTATGGTTATATTATTCTCAAATTGAAGGAAATTTAGGGCAGATCACTATTTTGGTATTGTTTTCCTGATTTGTGCCTCAGAAAATTCAAATTGTCTTTATTATTTGTGCCTTTAAACTCATTGTCACCCAAATGGTTTTAAAATCAGTAGAAATTCTGATATATCTCTAATGTTTCCAATGTTTATATTTTTTGTGACAAATACAGATTCATATATGTTATAGTGTTCGTTGGGATTTGCTACTCCGTGGAGTTACCTAGTTGATAAAATATATTGTGTTCATTCCCTCAGTAAAATGTTTTACTCTGGAGAGTTGCTATAATTTTAGTCATGTAATGTGTAGAATGAAGAGTGATGTAGTGAAATATGTTTTGTTTGGTAGGATTTGCTATTCCATTTATTTTGTTACTGCTCTCAGTGATCTCCCCAGCATTAAAGCAAGTGGGCACAGCACCCAACTGAGATTTTAAAACCAGGCTAGCACCCACTTGAGATTTCACCCACTTGAAAATGAGAAAAATTATGTAAAATAGGCATATTTTGACCAATTTTGGACTTAATTGTGAAAATGAGAATTTTGCACCCATTTGAGAAAAAATCCTGGGGAGAACACGGGCTCTGCATCCATACTAATACATAGCTTCAAATAGAATATACTTTTATTCCTTCAGGTGTTGCAGTATGTTGATGCACTTCATGGGAAGTGGCATTTCAATGAGATTCGTGCCATATTCGCCCGCAAGTACCTCCTCCAGGCCACAGCGATTGAAGTGTTCATGGCCAGTAGAAGTAAGTATTCAATACCTTTTCATACACTGTCTCCCAGAAGTTTGACAACATCAAACTATTTGACAACATCAACTCTATTATGTTTGTTGATTTTAAGGTAGCATGACAATTCTTGTACATTTCGACCTTTTGTCATTGAAAAATATGTTAAAGGACCCTTGGGAGGGAGTGTATAATTTTCGAAAAGAATGAATCATTTCCTATGGGATTGTATGGGATTGTATCATTTTTGGTTTAAATCATGTCCTCGAGAATTCCATTTGTAGGTCTAGATCACAGGAGCTTGTATTGAAAGATGGCAGCACTTCCTCTTGATGAGAACACGTTTTTGTGACCAAAATTTTTCATTTACCTCCATGTTTATAAAACCTTAAAACATAAACACCTGGTTATGCGAACACTTTTGACCAGTTGCAGAGGTGTTCGGATTAGACAGGTTTTATTCTGTTCGTGATAATCATATTTTCACTCAGTGAGATTGGTATACAACAGGTCCTGCCATCTTTTGATAGAATCAATTTGTGATATTGCATTGTTGAAGTTTTCTACCTGGACTTCTGCATGTAACTTTCCTTTCTAGGGGTTATCTTCAACAAACAATACTATAAGTTATTGAATGATTTGAAGTGCAATACAGGATATATTCTGCTCGAGAATTCCGTATTGGAAAGAGACGAAGTCGAGTGCCAATACAGAATATTGAGACAGAATAAATCCTGTATTGCACTTCAAATCATTCAATAACGTTTTTATCGTGTGATCCTCTGTATTGCTCCTGAGATTGTCTCCTCCGTACCAATATTTTCTGTATTGCGACGGAGATGATCAACTGGGACAATCTCAGTAGCAATACAGATTGGTACAGCACAAGAACTGACCAATCAGAGGGCTTCATTTTACAGATCATATGATAAAATACTATACAGAAAAACAGAAACCAATACAAATACTATCATATTGCCTATTTAAGATCTATTTAATACAAATATCTAAGTGGCAGTAGCCAGTAGGTAGTCACCAGTTTCACCACTACTGTAGTTGGTCATATAATATCGGAGACATACAAAAAGTAATCAAGCATTGTCTCACATTCAAAACTTTATTATGGCAAGGAACATTGGCAGTGTCATATATTTACAATTATTTTATTTTGTCTGTGTTACTGCGTATTGAGGATTACAAGGTGATGAAAATAAGAAAATTCATGAAGATTACATCATAATTGAGAAATGTATTTCTAAATTTTTGATTTTTGTGCATTTTATCATGATTGCAATGGTAAGAAAAAATGGTTATAGGTATGATATTCAGTAAAATATTATGAAACACTACCGTTATATAACACATGTTTCAAAATTGCCTAGTCCTTAACAGCCACCATGAGGACAGTGCTGTATATATAATGAAGTGATTTGAAAGCCTTTGTATTTACATCCTGTGTAATTGATAAAATGAATAGATAATCATGTATAAATAAAAAAGATTGTACATATGTACAATATATTTATTTTCCTCTTTTACTTCTCTTTCTTATTGTTATCACCTTACACTTTTATGTCACAACACATTCTTATATCATAATCATTTTTATGTCACATTTAATTTCATGTCACCTTTCATTTCTTTGTCACATTACAATTTATGTCATCTCCATTTCTGCGTCACGTTTCATATCCATGCCACGTTTCATTTCTATGACATTTATCATTTCCCCGCTCAAATTTAATTTTACAGAATCAATATGTGAATCTTCATGTTTTGCATCCTCGCTTATTTTTGCACTTTGTGCTGTTTCTCTGTCCTGTTTACTGATCAGTACATTCTGCTGTGATATTGTTGATTTTGAAGATAGATATGAAGAACTTGTTTTTGGATTTGATTTTTTGGAGTCTTTTGTGAAAGTGAGACTATCCCAAACTTGTTTTCTTAACACAAAGGCAAGGAATATATACACCCCTTGACTTGCATTTAACACAATGAAGATATACCATAAAGCTATGTTGTATGGTGCTATGAATGCAAAAATCCATGTGAAACCCATTAGACAGAATAACTTGGCGTATATACCAAAAGGATATTCTGAAGTCTGGTTGGAGCTTTGAACTCGTTGTTTCGTTGATTTCCAAAGACTAATGGCTGTTGGTATGAAGAACCCTATATTGACCAGAATTGAAACGGCGATAGGGGTGGTAAAAAATATCAAGAGAGCATATCTCTGTGATATCCAGCAAATTCCCCTACCATACATCGGTTTGAAAGCAGGGTCTATATCAGAAAAATCAAGACCTAAAGATATTGCCACTATGACAGCTGGAATACCCCATGCAAGAAGTGTGTACAGTTTCAGGACGGAAACATTTGTGTCAGTTGATTTGGCAAAACTTGAGGGAGAGAATATATAGAACATATCTCTTGCTATGATCACTGTCCATGTGAAAACTGCCAAGTAACTCCAGTGGATTAAAACCCCAAGTGTAACACATAGTTCGTTGATGTGAATACAATTTGGCCCAATCAGAAATAACAAACTTGCAAGAAACAATGACAAGATAAATGAAAACTGTAATTTTCCTGGAAAATTTTGAAACAGTGGAACAAATGGTTGAAGAATGAGTCTAATGAACATACAGACAAGTGAAAGTGTGGTACATATGATTGTTAATAGCCCCATTGTGTCATCATACTTCCATACTGCAGTCCAATTATCAAACTTCCAAGTTTCATTCACACAAACATATACCATATTCCCAATCAATATAAAATCGTCTTCTGAAAGAAGATTCTCAGTGTCAATGGATACTACGCTCCCATTGGTTAATATCTCAATAGAATTGGGGTCAACAGGTTTACGGGGACAATCTGTCACGTTGTATGTCACAAGGGGAATTGATATTGCAATTGCTGATTGGTTGGTTCTGTTTGCTTCATATAGGGGCGCATTGTCAGCTACAATAATTTCTCCCGACTTTGTAACACGCCCATGATTCCAACACGACCTTTCGCCAAATAAACTTACACATACTTCATTCAGGTTAAGTGTATCATGTGTTCTTTTTGGGTGAGCAGAAATAGTTTCTGTGAGAATATCGTTGAATAAAGTTGTGTGAATTTCATCAAATGGCATTTTGTTGTCAACTTTCAATTTGTACTTACTTGATATACCAAACTGGATAGATTTATCTCTTGAAAATTGGTCATTCAAACTAGGTTCCAATTTTATCTCCTCAACAATGCATGGCTCCAGTACCTCAAGGAAAAGTTCTACTAAAGTTTTCTTTAAACTTCGCCATATTTCAATGATATCTAGTATCCAAGGGTCTGGTGTTGACCATTTACCAGATACAGTCATATCATAAGTATGATATTTTAAGACACATTCCCCATTAGTGTATTGAAATCCGTCTGCACAGTAAGAAACACAGTCCAAATTTTCTGAATTAGCCAGACCACATCCAAATGTTTTTATGTCATCCTTAAAAATGAATCCAACCTTGTTTCCAGCTGAAGGATTATAATCAACTAGAATTCCGAATGAAAATTTGGCAAGTTCTCCACGATCAGGTCCTACCACACCGGGGGCCTCCCCATAGAAATCACATGAAATTTGATCTAATGGGAACCCTTCAAATACAGCACACATTAAACAATAAACATTCTTAAACGATTCTTGTGAATAACCCATCGTAACAGGCATTTGATACCCATAATAACACAAGTCTGAGTATTTTGGAAGGCATCCAGTGGACTGAGCCATGCAGTCTGGTTGTCTGAGATATTTGTCCACACATACGTGTTCAACCAGGGGTTTGTATTCTAGTTCACATATTCCTATATTCACTAAATCTAACAACTCTTGTGGTGAGTCTAAGGAGCCCTCCCATACTTCTTTACATGTGACATTAAGACCCCATGGTATAACATCGAGAATATTGTTGCATTGTGCGCAGAAGTAATTTTTGTAAATTACATCAGTTGCTTGGGACACAACAGGGACTATTTGTATGAATTCTGTAATTTCGCCTTCACATTTCCCTCTCACTGTTTCATTAATATTGTCTATGGGACAGTGCCCAACCATCCAAAATGTATAATCTCTCTGATATTTACTGAAGGGGTTCATACACTCGACATAAGCTGAAGAGTTTGGGGTCCTGGTAAATATGTCCCTCTTTCTCCTTCCAATCTTGTAATGTTCCGGACAAAACTGTTTGAAATCTTGACAACAGTCGTGAGACACCAAACATAATGGATGACAGGAGCAATAAGGACCCATATAAGCTCCTGCTTTCATCTTAGGATCATTGCAGCGTGACTCGCATGTATAAGCATAGGACATAGAATTAACTGAACTATTTGCACATGATGGACCTACAGGTTCAATCAAATCTATTTCACATAGGTATTTGGGTAAAGGATCAGAATCATAATATAATGGTGTTGTTGTTATGTTGTCATTTAAATTAGTTTTTAACTCGCTTGTTCTCTCCTCTGGATCAGGTATGCTCCGCTTTTTAATCTTTGGGATTGAAGGTTCATTTAAATTTTGATTTTGATAAAAGACCAATATTCCATCTTGATTTTGGAGCCCTTGGTCATTGATCAAGCCATCATTTTGTTGTCCCTCTTGTGTTACTGCCACATCAGCTGTGAAACTTGTGATCATTAAAATGAATGATACGCTATAGAAAAACATTGTTCTCTATGAAATGTCAAGTCTTGTATTCAATATTGTATTATTCCACACTAAATGGTCATTTTATTTAATGGAAAGTTAGCTGTGTTGAGTTGCCCAACAATATATCAAACTTCATCTAATGACTTAGTCCTAAAAGTTTCAGTTTTTTGTATTTTCCAAGAGTTTTATCCTAAGAGTCTCCTAATGTATCATCTAAATGTCAAATCCTTTATCTTTTGTGAAATATAAAGATTCCAGTGATTTCCTAATATATCCTCATTTAACTCGTGACAACTGAGCAACTTTTCTACTTATATCCATGACAATTCACTTTAGTGAACTATTGAAAGTGATTGTTGGTTGATGCCCAAGTTAATAGCTAGTTGGATGGAATCTGCAATAACAAAAACATTATGTTAAGTTGTAAATGCACTGATTCATCTGCAAGACAATTGAATTAAGTGCTTTTAGAACATTTAGTTACTAGTATATTGGATGTCATTAGATGATGAATTATTTGATTCAAAGGTCTGGATTTTGTTTTGAAACAAGCAGACCACAGGGAATCAGCTGTTAATCTCAGAGTCCAAAGTAATGTTTTTATTCAATGGTTCATGATATCTTAAATAAAGTAATGTATTGATACCATGTAATTGGTATGTATATTGTTTGAAAAGCTGTATCTAGCTACCTAGTCAAGTATGCAGTAAATTTAGTAGTTTGAACTCTAGATTAAGACCTGTAATTATGGACACTATTTTCACTTTCTACAAGGTTTGTTTTATTAAAATGAACTGAGGCTTAACAATTTAAAGCAGTCACTGGTATATATCACAAGCTTAAAAAATCATATTGAACATGAAAATAAAGATTAACTGTGCAAAAATGTGAAAAAAATCTGCCCCTGAAAATGAAAAATGCAAAAAAACGATCTGGCCGTAAAAATGAATATTGCAAGTAAGTTAGCATATCTAAGGGAATTACAATAATCATGATTTAATAGATCTATTATTTTAGAATGAATCCTGAATTATTCATGTGAATTACTTTTGCAATTTCCTAAAGTGATAGAGAAAAACGTAATTGCTTTTAGCTGAAATTGGCAGGAACAATCCTGGTATTTGAAAGGTAGTTAAGTTCAGAAATCATCAAAGTTAACATCATCTGTTTTCAATATTTATAACCAAAACCACTGTGCATACACAAAGAACCTAATATACACGTACATAATATACATTGCATATATACATAAAACTTATCATTTTACCATAGGCATAGTCAGGGATGAGGCAACATTTTACAAAAGAAAGTTCCAATCTTTTATTACAATATTGAAACTATGAAACTGAAGTGTTTTTTGAAATGTTATTTCCTCTTTCACTGAAATGCCCAATTAAATTTGCCGAATCACTTTTAAAATCCTAGCTATATGCTTACCTTTCACATTAGTTTGGTTTACTTCTAAACCAGTCTGGCATCTGATAGATTCTTAAAATGGAGTTGAAGGTCAGACAATCTTGTTGTGTTGAAGGCAAACTTTACAATCTACTCTAAAACTTTTAATGGTATTCCTCTGCATGAAATAACTTTGATCATATGTCTGAGAAACTTGAATTACTTCTTTCATTATCTAGTTTTTGTGTTTAATTATTTTTAGTTTTATAATAATGCAATGTCTAAATTTAACTTTTCAAATGTTTTCTCTGATTTTCCATTTCATATCATATTATGAAAAAGTTGTTATCTTCACATAACAGTAGATACATTGATGCTTTATCAGGGTTATAGCTCACAAGCATTATTTCCAGCACAGGCCAATGTTAATGTGTTGATATCTGTAAGCAATGTAACCCATCCAAAATATATCACAGGGTCATTCATTTTCTACTGATCATACAGCTGAATAAGAGCACAGTCTGAATATTTAACATACATGCATTGTGGTAACAGAGTACAATTTACATAGCACAAAAATACAACTACATATTTTTCTCAGCTTATGAGATAGGAGCAACTTTATTTTTGGTAAAATGTGAAATGTTTTGTCAGGGAAAAATGGAATATGTTAAGAATTCCCCTTGATCTGTCTGATGATTTCACAGCATACAAGAAACCATAATTTCATCCTTTATAAGCTTATTACAAATTAATGAGTTATAATTGGAATTGAAGATTAGAGGAGTGATAAGATTGATGAAATTGTTTTCCATATTGTGTGTCTGATTAACTTCAGGGGGGTTCACAGGGATCTGGCACCACCCCCCCCCCCCTGGCCAAAAATTCTTTCAAAAGCATGCAATTTTTCTTGAGCACTTCTCAAGTGACTTTAGCCATATTTGGGCCAAAATTGTCAAATGTGAACCCCCCTTGGAAATTTTTGAAAACTGACCCCCCCCCCCCCCCCCCCCCCCTTGGCAAATCCTGGCTACGGGCCTGACTTTGTCTGTGTTTTTTCTAGAAATGATTTGAAAGATTGATTTAAGATTTTCAGGGATGTTCCTTTGTATAGAGACTTATCTGTAAAGTCATCTAGTTCAATGTAGCTCTGGATGCACGAATCTTAAATCTTATCATCAAAATTAAGCATCCAACTTCAGCAAAAATCAATGAATATAAATCTTTTAAACGCATTTTAAGGCAAGTAATACGAAATTCGGAAAGACTTTACTATAAACGCAAGTTCAACAGTTGTTCGGGTAATCTAAAGGAAACATGGAAAAACATTAATGAAATTCTTAACAGAGACAAACGTTCAAATCTGACAAACAAGGAATTTGTTTATGATAATAAGCTGATTAAAGACCATAAACAAATTGCTAATCTTTTTAATGATTATTTTACTGAAGTAGGACCTAATATTGCAAATAATATAAAAAATGCTAATTTTTCCCCAAAATATTACTTAAGCAAATTGACAGATTCATTCAATCAAATTATATTTTTAAGAAGAGTAACAGATAAAGAAGTCAAAAAAATTATTGATTATTTAAAAGATTCAGCAGCAGGGTATGACGAAATTAAACCAATAACAGTTAAGAATTCAAATGACATATTCACTCCTCCTTTGCTCCATTTGACCAGTTTATCTCTCTCGACTGGTGTCTTTCCAGATCAACTGAAAATAGCCAAAATTATTCCAATCTTCAAAAAGAATGATCAAAGATACTTTATTAATTATAGGCCGATATCACTTTTATCAGTTTTTTCTAAAATATTTGAGAAAATTATGTATAATAGAGTTGAGTTCGTTGAAAAATTCAAAATAATCTGTATCAATCAATTTGGATTTCGAAGGAATCGATCTACTTGCTTAGCTATTTTAACTTTCCTAGAAAACCTAAGGAAGGCTATGGAGAATAAACATTACAGTTTAGGGATCTTTTTGGATTTAAGTAAAGCCTTTGATACGGTTAACCATGATATTCTACTTACTAAATTGAATTTTTACGGCTTCCAGGGTAAATCCTTGGATTGGTTCAAAAGTTATCTTAGTAACAGAAAGCAAACTACTTTTTTTGAACATGAATACTCGGATATGAAAACAATACAATGTGGTGTCCCTCAGGGATCCATTTTAGGCCCCGTACTTTTCATCCTTTACATAAATGACCTAATCTCTACTAGCAATTTATTCAAATATGTAATTTTTGCTGATGATACAAATATTCTTTGCTCTGACAAAAATATTTATTCCTTAATTGATATAGTGAATAATGAATTAAAAACTGTAGAAGATTGGTTCTGTGCTAATAAACTCTCATTGAACATTGATAAAACCAACTTTATGGTCTTTACAACTTCACAAAATAGGGTACCAGATAATATTTCAATCAAAATTAGAGACTCTTACATTATTCGTGTTTTTTCAACAAATTTTCTTGGTGTTATAATTGACCAAAATTTAAATTGGAAAGAACATATTCGGAAAATTGCACTAAAAATTTCAAAAACCATAGGTACTCTTTTTCGAATAAAACACAAACTCAGTATCAAATCATTATTGAATATCTATTACTCACTTATTTATTCTCACTTACAATATTGCATCCCAGCTTGGGGTGGGACAGGAAAAACACATTGATATCTTATTAAAGCTGCAGAAAAGATTTGCCAGCTTAGTTACTAATAGTGAATATAATAAAGCACCATCATCACCTTTATTTCAACAACTAAATATACTGAAAATAAATGATATTTATAAACTCAATGTTCTTATCTTTACTTACAAATGCATCAAACGTCCATACAATTTTCCGAATGACTTATTTTGCAATTATTTTCAAGCAAATCAGCAGGTACATGACCACAATACAAGACTGACAATCTTCATATTTCCAAATTTAGAACCAACTATGGCAAACGAAGTATTAAAACTCAAGGGGGAATAATCTGGAATTCAACTCCAGATGTTATCAAAAATTCAAAAACCATTTTTATTTTTAAGCGAGCCTTCAAAAGACTTGTAATTAGTCTCTATGACTAGTACCCTGTACAAATTTTTAACAGATGCACCTTTTTCCATTTAGCTATTCTACATCATTAAAATGTTTTATTACATCTTTTATAATGTACATCATTTTTATTTTTATTTGTTTCCCAGTTTGGCTTACATAATTTATACTTTGAGACACTTTGTAATATCAATAATAAATGTAACTAACAATATGCCATTTTTAAATATTTTAGCTTGTGATAAGACATACACCCACTAGGGTGTCATTATCACTTATATGTATATACGAGGGAAGATCCAAAAGTTTCCGGCCTAACATAGTTCTAGTTGATGGATTTTCAAAATGATAGTGTCATTTTTCAATGTAGTCTCCCTGTACTTCGATGCACTTGGCCCATCTTCTTGGCAGCATCTCAAGTCCAGTTCTGAAGAAATCAGGAGCATGACCCTCCAACCACTGGTTAACAGCTATCTTGACCTCATCATCATCATCATAGCGTTGCCCTTGTAGAGATTTTTTGAGTTTCCCAAATAGGTAATAGTCACTGGGTGCTTGATCTGGAGAATAGGGTGCCTGCGGTAATAATTCCAGATGGCATTCTTCCGCTGCATCATGAGCAACTTGGCTTGTGTGAACAGGTGCATCTTAAATCGTATCATCGAAATGCATGCATCTTAAATCTTATCA